GTAAAAATGGATTATGAGTTACACCGCAGATGGAGGGGAAACAAGTTACGCAGGAAAGGAAGCAATTAAATAGCCATGAGCTGGACCCAACCCTGCGCAACATCTGCCGAGACCAGTATCCAGCACTCCACAACTGACAAATTAGTGTAATGCACTAATAGGGACGGATAGAGAGGGGAGCGAATACAATAATACGGCTGTTTAACACGGGGGTGACTGCACTCTGGCTACCGGTTAGTCTGGAGAAACTTACCCAGAGAGGCGGTCTTCATCTTGGAGAGAGAGAGAGAGTGTCCGGTGCACGTTGAGAGGAAAGTCCGAGCAACAGAGGCTGCAAAGAGAGAGTCAGACAAGGCTTCGCCCTCACTGCGATTATATGTTATGTGCAATATACTGTCAACTCCCCAAAACCATAAAACTTACTTTAATGGCCCACCACGTGACCGTTTATGGCCAGTGAGCCTATCTGGCCGCTCTGCCGGCTGATTTTTTACGATCTAATTCATAGACAAAACCCCCCATTCATTTAGCACCCAAATGTCAAGAGGAGCCAGAATCGGCCCTGTAATAAAGTTTACAGCCGGGGAAAAAAGTCGAGTTAATTTGCTGGGGATTGCTCAGAAGTGTGTGCGCAAGGGAGGGGGGTGGGGGGGTGACTGGTCGGCCCCTGCTTGGAGCTTGTTAGTGGAGTTCCCCCCCCACACACACACACACACACCTCCCCTACCATCCCCACTTCCCATGCAACACCAGAACAAGGTGAGTAACAGCTTTCATTCAATAAGAGAACCTGTTGAATTCATCCGGATTTGGCTGAGAAAAGGCGAGGAGACTTTGATATTTTTTGGGGGGGAAGGGGGGGGAGGAATTGAATGTTTGGGAAGAACGAGCACAGGCCTACAATTAACCACAAAAAAAGAGGAAGAAATCAAATGCCTCAGTGTAAACAAATATGGTTGAAATTCAACAAGGTGAAATGGCGTTCAGATGAAGATGTCCACTAGTGTCTGAACCCGGCTGAAAATAAAAAAAGTAAAAAGTTATTTACCTAAAGAGGCCGTCCGTCCAAATATCTAAATGCGGTCGAAAAATCAAAAGTGAAAAGAGGTTATGTCTAAATATAGTTGAAAATAAAAAGTAAAAAATAAATAACTAAAAAAAAAAGACTGTATATATTTAAAGATGTCTACAAGTGGCGTTTCGTGACTAAATGCGTTTTAAGGTTTTGAGGATGATTCTCTAAACAAGACTTTTGACTTTTTAGCTTAGACTAAATACGGATTCGGTATATGGCCTAAGAAAATTTGATATATACATATATATATGTAATTTTTATTTTTTTTAATTTTTTATGTTTTTACATTTTTTTGGCTACATAAAGAGAAAAACTAGCCAACCCCAATCTGGAATAAAAACACACGTCCAGCTTTTGGAGGAAAAAATATCCTCCACCAAGCGGCCCTGCGCATCACAAAGCCGAAAAAGAAACTCTCTAAAGTTGCCGTTTCCAGTAAAAAGTTTATTATCACGGCTATGACAGCCATCATCAACATGAGCATCGATATCATTCTTCTGATTATTGTAGCATTTTTTTTCCTCTTTCCAGTCTTTGAAAAACATTTACAAAAAAAAAAAAAAAAAAAAAAAAAAAAAAAACCTCACAGAGTAAAAAAAAAAAGGGGGGGGACATCCCAAAAAA